GACAGTATGTCAGTATGTACTACAAAAAATATATATGTGCTGTGTTTTCGTGACCCAATCTGGTTAAAATCTAAACATGACAATAATAATAATGATAATAAAAAATACAGTGACACTGATCAAGATTTTTCACAGTACAGCATGTATAGACATCACTCAGCAAGACGTGAACAAGAGTATTTTTCCAAGTGTTCCGTGATCGCTGCTATTTCCTTTGTTTTCGTTCTTTAGGCAGAGGTCATGCTTGGCTTTCTAGGAAGCTTTCATCCTTTTATCTCATCATTATCGTCATGACGGCCCTAACGAGTTTCCAATCTGTCTGTTGAGACTTCCGAGACATAATCCCTTTTCTGCGGCACGCATGAAATGTCCACTGAAATGGCTTTACCATTGTAGTTTCTTTCTTTCTAGTTCTTTCAAAATAAAAACAATCTTGACCAAACACAATATGAGGAATAGTTATTCTTTAGTTTTTCTGCATCAATGGCAATTTTCTTCATTTTAGGTTTGATCAGAAAAACAAAGGGACCTATTTGAGTGTGCAGCTGTAGTTGGACCTTATAGCCTATTTGATTGTCATTTCCAGCGTTGTGCAAAACTCGTGAATCATCCTTCATTTCTTTATATTCTGATGGGCTTGAAAGTCAATGGTATGACTTTATTTATTCTTCAAAACACTGTGAACTTTCCTAGGCAGGTTTTCTTGTGATTTCTTTAAGAAGTCTTCAGGAATAGTTCTCCAGGGTCCGTGAAGGACATTCAAAGCTTTTCTTTGGATGTTGGCGTCCTTTTGTTCTGTTCAATAATGTTGAGCTCCCCACTCTGGGGAGGCCAATCCATGACTCGTGGTGTTTCACTGTGTTTTTTCTATCCAGGTATGGTTTTACTACGCTGGCAGTACGTTTGGGATCATCATCCTGAAAATAATTCTTTCCAGAGGGTAAGGTCTCTATATTGCATAATGGATCAAAATCTGATGGAACATTTCTTTGTTCATAATTAGATCAGTCTTGACAAATCCCCAACACCACTGGCTGAAATACAGCCCCACACTGTGATAGAGCCTTTTTTCGTTATGCGTAGACACAACATTGCTTCGTTTTTTGAGTTAGGTGCAATTTTTTATGCTTGAATAATTGATAGGTTCGTGTTAAGCGAGTTAACAAACAATCAACTGGCTCCTTGGAAATAAAATACAAGTAAATGGAGGCTGGCTCAAGAGAATCATGTATATAAAAGTGGCTTGGTTTTTAGTTTGTTTGTTCTTCCTTTCTTTTTAAAAAAATGTTCTTTATATGACAGCAGTGAGTTAAACGCGTATATAAATCACAGCACTAAAACCTGTGCTGAACAGCTGGCTCCCATCTTTACTCTGACTGAATGACTACAGACCTGTCGCCTTGACATCTGTGGTCATGAAATCCTTTGAACGACTGGTGTTAGCCCATCTGAAAGACATTACAGGCCACCAGCTGGACCCTCTGCAGTTTGCCTACCGGGCAAACAGGTCGGTGGATGATGCAGTGAACATGGGGCTGCATTACATCCTGCAACACCTTGACCGCCCGGGAACTTTTGCCAGGGTCCTGTTTGTGGACTTTAGTTCGGCTTTTAACACCATCGTGCCTGAACTTCTCTCCTCCAAACTCTCCCAGCTCAGCGTGTCACCAGCTACCTGTCAGTGGATCACCAACTTCCTGACAGATAGAAAGCAACAAGTGAGGCTGGGGGAGATCACCTCTGAAACTCGGTCCCTCAGTATTGGTGCCCCTCAAGGATGTGTCCTCTCACCACTACTGTTCTCCCTCTACACTAATGACTGCACCTCCAAGAACTCGGCTGTTAAACTCCTAAAGTTTGCAGATGACACCACTGTCATTGGCCTCATTCAGGATAGTGATGAGTCTGCATACCGGCAGGAAGTTGAGCGGCTGGTACTCTGGTGCAGTCAGCACAATCTGGAGCTGAACACTCTTAAGACTGTAGAGATGACAGTGGACTTCAGGAAACATCCCTCAACTCTGCTCCCCCTCACCATATCAGACAGCTGTGTGTCAACTGTGAAGACCTTCAAGTTCCTGGGTACCACCATCTCCCAGGACCTGAAGTGGGAGACCAACATCAACTCCATCCTCAAAAAGACCCAGCAGAGGATGTACTTCCTGAGACAACTTGGGGAGTACAGTCGACACAGGAGCTGCTGATCCAGTTCTACACTGCGGTCATTGAGTCTGTCCTGTGCTCCTCCATCACAGTTTGTTATGGTGCAGCCACTAAACAGGACAGGAGCAGACTGCAGCGGACTGTACGGGCAGCAGAAAGGATCATCAGCGCCCCCTGCCCTCCATCCAGGATCTTTACCTCTCAAGAACCAGGAAACGGGCAGGGAAAATCATCACAGACCCCTCACACCCTGGACACAGACTTTTTGATCTGCTGCCCTCTGGCAGACGGTACAGAAGCCTGCAGACCAGGAACAGTTTCTTTCCCCTCGCCATCTCCCTTCTAAACAGTTGACCTGTCACACTGCTCCCACTGCCAGACTGCAACTGCACCTTATTTACATTCTGTAGTATTCATTCCACCTCATTTCATTTCTGTATTTTACGTAAATAAGTTTAGATTAGTTATTTATAGTTGGTTTACACAGCTTTGTGTATGTGTAATGTATAGACACGTGTGTGTGTGTGCGTGGGGGGGGGGGGGGGGGGGGGGGGGGGGGGTATGTGTGTATTCACATTGTTTATGTTAATGAGAGTGTGGGGAGTGAGTTGGAGGGTGGGGTGGGCTGATTGTAAACCATGTAAAGCACTTTGTGCTACATTTTTTTTTGTATGAAAAGTGCTTTATAAATAAAGATTGATTGATTGAGAGCAGCGGAGAGGATTGTGGGGACCTCTCTTGCCCCTCCCCAGGAGGTGTGTGTGTGTGTGTGTGTGTGTGTGTGTGTGTGTGTGTGTGTGTGTGTGTGTGTGTGTGATTTACATTGCTGTGCTTGAGAGCCACCATCTACCGGAACCAAATTCCTTGTATGTGTCTGCACATATACTTGGCCAATAAACACGATTCTGATTCTGACAAGCACGCAAACCTCCGTCTTTCTGCCTGTTACAAATAAACATGTACACATACAAACACAGTTTGCATGTGTACATGTTTATTTGTACATGTACATGTGTACAGTTTTGTTTAATGTTGTACACAGACAGACAAAAGGCACTGAAAAGTCACCTCACCTCAAAAGTCACCTTTGATGGAGGAAGAAAATCAGTAGTGTAAGTCTGCCATCTAATGGACTAACATAGTGCTGCAACAAAGGGCAGCTACTTTTCATATCATGAAATATGTTTTTTTTCTTTATTATTGGCCTTCTTTAGGAAGAAGGTCAGAGGTCAGGTTCAGGTACTCAGAACCTAAGGTCTTTAAGGTGCATGTAAGCACCCCACATGCAGCAGAAATAAAGCTGTAGTGTAAAAAGAGACAGATTGAATTACTGCCAACCAGCTAATGGATGATAAAGTAGTCTGGCAATAATAATTTTAAAAAATGTTTGCGCAGACTTTTTGAAGAAGAAGAAAAAGAAGAAGAAGTCCTGGCCTACTGCTGAGGATAGCTTTGCAGTCCATCAGAACATGCAATGACTGTTTAAGCCACATTAACTTATCATCTTCGCAGCAACGAATTCAACCTGCAAAAAGTCAGAATTATGCTAATACTCGCTCACCTTTTTCTCTTGCTGGTTACCCGGACATCTGGCACTAGTCTGCCAAACTAAAATGCTTGAACCACACTTATTGCTTTATATTTTGCTTCCAAGTAGCCAGACTTTCTACATCTGGCAGTGACTTTTTTGTCACACTGCCAGCACAGTAAAAGCACACCTGGATAGATAAACACAGAATACAACACTATCAGTTATTGAAGCAATGTGTGGTTATTAAAAGAGAACAAAGGGCAGCCATGGTCCAAAAAAGGAGCTTTGAATGTTCTTCAAATAGCCTGGAAGTACTATTCCTGAAGGCTACGCAATGAAATGACAGGAAAGCTTGCCTAAGAGAGTTAAGGCTGTGTTAAATAATAAAGCTTGTCATCTGAAATATTGACTTTTAAGCTTGGTACAATTGAAAAAACTTTTTTTGCCTTTTAAAAAAAATAGTATTTCCAAAAATACATGTTTCTGTATGGATTTACCATTTTCCTAACAAGATATAAATAAATGAATAGTATCTCAAGACTTTGACAAAGTACTGTGTATATATGTTGTGTTTTAAATCTGAGTTGCTCTAAATATGATGTGATCTGTTTTGCAGTATTGGTCATAATGTACAATCATTTCTTTATTTGTTGTCTCGGTCATAAACCGAAATACTTTTTAACTATATGTTTTATTTCGCTACCTGGAGCGTACATTTACTTGTCTTTTAGGTTGACATCAAAGAATATGGCTGAACATCCATCCGTCCATCATCCATCCATTGTCTTCCGCCTATCCTACGGCTGAACATATTGATGTCAAAACCAGGGACGCTTTTTTTAAATGTTGAAGCCATTGTAGTAGAGTATTTGTATCAGTGGAGGGCGCGCTAAAGGGGGGCGTGGGCGTGTCAACATTAATATATGCGAGCGCAAAGTCTGTAAATTGTTGCTCGTGCGGTGTTGTCGAGAATTTGTGGGCATATACAAGTAGGTTTAGAGGGGAATAAAATCAGAATTGCATACAAAATTAAAATAAAAGGAGATTCGGTACGGGTGTCGCCATCTTTAGTAAGGGACAATAACCCAACTCCTATAACACAACTTGTTGTAATTCGCGCAAAGTCGTAACGTGTTTACTTTAAATCGATTTGCAGTGTTCCTAAAAGTACACTGGTACTTACTGCACGATTCGCACACACAGATTGACAAAAATAAAAAAAAATGTATATACCTTTACCTCCGAAACGGTTTGCAAGTGGGTCCTTGTCGCCATGTTTACTTTGGGTGACGCCAACTCTCTTCCATTTTCCTCCGCCTCTGGTTGTCAAGAAGATGGCAGCTTCCAGGCAGGCATGAGAGGAAATACTTCTTCACAAATCGAATGAATTTGGATTATTGCCGCAAGATTAGAGCACATATCTGTGTTTTTGCAATAACTGCATCGAAATAAGTGAGTAAAATTCTGAAGCGTCTGTGCCCTTTTCGCTCTGTTGTGTTTTGTTGTAGCAAACCGCCCGGCCATTTTTCTTGTGGGAGCTGTAGACTTAGGCCGATTGTTGAAAAGATGGCTGCTTCCAGAGACGGCATGAAACATAATAACATTGTGTTTATGCTGTTTAACTCAATTTAGCTCAGTTTTAAGACCGTTGCCGAGCTTGCCTTTGTATCAGGTAAATTATGCACGACAGAGAAACTTTAAATTGCGTTGAATTTAATTGAGAAATTCGGCAGCGCTTTGACAGATGCCAGCTAACGCCGTTAGCTCGAGCAAATTAGGTTGAGTAACTAGCCGCTAGAGCTAACGGGGTACGGCTAACATGAGAATTTGAATGCCGCGATTGCAACTTTAAATTTTTTGTAAATCTGGGTAAAAGGTCTCATAGTTGTTTGGCCCTTTAGTCCCATAATATTTGCAACTGTTAACACAAACTTTGGATTTTTTATAACGTTGATAATTGCGGTAAAGCGGTTGCAAAGAATGCTAAAGTTGTTAGCTACAATATGGCGACTCCCAGAGAGGCATGAAAATAGCCGACTGTTGCTAACGATTGCAGTAGTGGATAAATTAGTGGTACGACTGTGTATCGTTTTGTGAACACGGGCTTATAATCACCTGTTGGATTTGTATTCATCCTGCCTTGTTTTTTGTTGATGTAGTGGGTTAGTTGTCATGTATTTTTATTTTTCGTTTGCTTCCGCCATTTTTCCGACGGGCAGTAGCGTTAGCGGGTGTTTGTTTGGTTGCAAGATGGCGGCTTCCATGGATTGAATTCAATGGTTAGAAACAACTAATAATAAACTTGGATAATGGCAAGATTTACTATGATTCTTAACAGAAGTACGACGTCATAACTGCGTAAGAGACCATAAAGCAGAAGTTGCTCGAAAGGTTTTGTACAAATATAGTTTATTGCTGTTATTGTTTTTTCTTGTCTTTTTTTGACAGTGTTCATTAACCAAAGCTAACCGCTAACTGTAAAGCCTGCTTTAAAGTTAGCTATATTGCACGGTTAGATGCTATTTTTGTATTGCATAGGTTTTATGGAAAGATAACAGAACTATTCAAGCACACATGACTAATGCGTCTTTATTATTTATTTCGGTAGAAGTCATGTCTGCCCCTGGCTCCGCGGTATCTGGGACCACGGCGTCGGTTCTGCAGCCGCGATGGAAACGGGTCCTCGGGTGGTCTGGTCCTGTTCCCCGGCCCAGACATGGACACAGAGCTGTGGCTATAAAGGAGCTTATGGTTGTTTTCGGCGGTGGAAACGAAGGGATTGTGGATGAGCTGCATGTATACAACACCGGTAAGCGCAACTTTGCATAAGGAACTTTATCAATTGTTTCTGCAGAAAGCATCATTTCTTACAAATAAAATTCAGATATTTAGAAGGCTAACTCAAAGTACTTCTACATCTAAAATAGTACAGTTCATTTCAGTATATGTTTATAATGCGCAAAACTAAATAGCCTTGCAGGCCCCAGTAGGCCAAACAGAAGTTAGCCCCCCCTGTCGGAGAAGGATTTTAATACACGTTAAAAAAGGCGGGCTAAAATAAAATGGATGATGCTGGTTGGTTTAAGCATATCCCCTGCCCCAGTTTCCTGCTTATAAACCAATAAGGGCAGGCAGACTCAGCAGTTGTGTTTGTGTTCCCATTCTTTAATGTAGATTTTAAGTTTATGTTTCCAAAAATAAATAGAGGGTTATTTTTTGCTTCTACTTTTAAGCATTTTAAAGCCTTAGTGGGTGTGATAGCATGTCTTTACTTATTAATTACAATTTGCCACAGGAAAGCCTCCAGAAATAACCCCTTTATTGTTATTGTGTTTTAATTTTTAGCAACAAACCAGTGGTTTATCCCAGCAGTCCGTGGTGATATCCCTCCTGGTTGTGCTGCATATGGTTTTGTCTGTGATGGCACACGGTTGCTGGTATTTGGTGGAATGGTGGAGTATGGAAAGTACAGCAACGATCTTTATGAACTACAGGTAAACCTTTATGGAAAAATAACCCCAGTTTTCGTACTAAGTTTGCTTGTCAGTATAATGAAGGCTTGTAAAGTATTTATAGCAACAAAATATAGCTGGCATCTAAGTCAGATTTTCCAGAGATATTTACAAAGCAATGTTCATATGTAGGCCATCGTACTGCAAAGTGTCTTTATCAGCTGCATGCGAAATTTTGTCTTGTCTGCATCAGAGATGACTGATACAGGAAAAAATTGAGAAAGTTGATTGCAAAGTTATGTTTCACCCCTGTTACAGTTAAAATATTTACTAGAACAGGCAAATTATTACAATTAAAATCAAGGTCACTTGTAAGTTTCATCACTATACGTGTTACTGAGTGTTCAATGCTCAGCTGTACAGCATTATAGTAAGGTTGTGTCATTGAAACTATGATGACTTGTGAAATCACACAACTGTGTTGCAAAGTTTATGGTTTCATTGGTTGTGCTAGTCTTGAGAAAATACATTAAAGGAGTAATGTGTCTTTATTCTTAAAACTGTAGTAGAAAGGTTACAATTTACGTTGTTCTGCTCTTCTAGTATGTTTGGGTTTGCCAAATTTCATTAACCGATCCTGAGAAGTTCTCAAATGTTACGTTTCTGATTAAAGGATGTAAGGAAGCAGTGTGCCAAAAGTCTTTGTCACCAGATCCCAGGTGGATTTTTAATCATTGGGAAATGGAGTAGCTCTGTAAACAAACACTAAATAAATGTGGATTTGATGAGGGGGGGAAAGTATGTAAGGGTTCAGTCACAATTGTGATACTAAATCTGTCCTTATTTTTATGTTGTCAGAACAAGGAATGTGGTCAGCTTAAGACTTGTTAGTTACAGCTTATGCTGCCATCCATCGACTGATCGTTTTTTTCCACTGTGGTTTTTGCTACAGGCCAGCAGATGGGAATGGAAAAAATTAAAAGCAAAAAACCCGAAGAATGGCCCCCCTCCTTGCCCTCGTCTTGGCCACAGCTTTTCACTGGTTGGCAACAAATGCTACCTGTTTGGTGGACTCGCCAATGACAGCGAAGACCCAAAAAACAACATTCCCAGGTACAGAGGTTTTCTGAACAGTCATCAGGGGAGCACTGTTTTGCAGGACTGCAAATGTTTTTCTGTTTCAGCCACCGACGTGAGTGTCACTGTGTTTATTATTCATCAGATACCTGAATGATCTGTACACACTCGAGCTTCGTGCAGGTTCCAGTGTGGTTGGATGGGATATTCCAATCACATACGGAGTCCTGCCTCCTCCTCGTGAGAGCCACACTGCTGTGGTATACACAGAGAAGGCAACCAGGAAGTCGCGCTTAATAATCTATGGAGGAATGAGCGGTTGCCGTCTTGGAGATCTATGGACACTTGACATTGGTATGTTTTATAAAGTGTAAATGGAGAAATAACAACACTAAAATTGAAATGCCCTGCCATCAGCCCTCTGAGACATGATGCGATTCACAGAGTATCAGAACAAATGGAACTGAGCATTTCACTGTTAGAGAAGCAATATAGGAAATTGTGAGTTTTCTGTACACAAGCTGCCTTATCTTTTTGCATTTAAGAATAGATAACCTTTTATTGATTTTATTTTTTTTAATCTCCAGATACCCTGACATGGAACAAACCATCAGTAAGCGGCACAGCGCCACTTCCTCGAAGTCTTCACTCTGCTACCACCATCACAAACAAGTGAGATGACTGCTGCACATTTCCAACAGCAAACTTAATTTTTATTTTACTCATTTTTGAAATTCTGTGCTTGTTAAATGGTCTAAGTGCGAATTCATTTCTCTGTGCAGGATGTATGTTTTCGGAGGATGGGTACCTTTGGTGATGGATGATGTCAAAGTGGCCACACACGAAAAAGAGTGGAAATGCACAAACACTCTTGCGTGCTTGAACCTCGGTTTGTCTATCTCTGTTTTTATTGAAATCATATTTTTTTTGTTTGTTTTTTAAATAGCAAATGTGCAGTGCCACTCTTAACTTTTGTGTAATTCTTCGTTAGACACCATGTGTTGGGAAACAGTGTTGATGGATACTCTTGAAGACAACATCCCCAGGGCCCGTGCTGGTCACTGTGCTGTGGCTATCAATTCCAGGCTTTATGTATGGAGTGGCCGTGACGGTTATCGTAAAGCTTGGAACAACCAAGTCTGTTGTAAAGATCTGTGGTACCTGGAAACAGGTAGGTGTGTTGTAACATGAGTGCTGTTGGAGACAACAGCTCGTTATTAGATAGTATTGAAAATTCTGCTCTCCCCCCCCCCCCCCCCCAGAGCGACCGCACGCCCCTGCCAGGGTGCAGTTAGTCCGTGCCAACACAAACTCTCTGGAGGTGAGTTGGGGTGCAGTCTCCACAGCTGACACATACTTGCTGCAGCTGCAGAAGTATGACATTCCTGCAACTCCAGCTGCAGCCTCTCCAGCTATGAGCGCAACCCCATCGCAGCCGCTTAACTCTCCAAAGAGCCCAGTGCCAGCTGCTGCAGCACCGTCGGCTCAGAGCTTACCACAGACAGGTATTACAATTTTGCATTTTTGTTACCACACCAGGAAGCTCGGCAACTGCAACAACCCAAATTCTACAAGGTGTGAATAATTTGGTTCATTTGTTTTACAGCAGTTTTAAAGGTTGCAGCTCAGCAGTCTGCAACAGGCGCATCTGTTGTCACAGTTCGTCCCAGCCAGCCGGGGAAATCCCCCGTCACTGTGACATCCCTTCCTCCAGGTGTTCGAATGGTAGTTCCAGCCCAGACTACCCAGGGATCGGTATGAGCAGTTTCATACAATTGTGTTCTTTCGCTGTGAACTGCACTGCCAGATCAGCAAATAATGTCAACATTTATTTCTTTTTAACTTTTAGCCAATTGGAAGTAGCCCTCAGATGAGTGGCATGGCAGCTTTAGCTGCTGCTGCAGCAGCAACCCAGAAGATCCCGCCCTCTTCGGCAGGAACTGTCCTCAATGTTCCTGCAGGTGCTACCATTCTCAAAACAGTGGCAGTTTCTCCCAGCACAACCACAGTGAAAGTGGCTTCTCCAGTCATGGTACACGTTGCAGTAAACGCTCTCATTTCCAACATTATGCTCGTCCTATCACAAGCCATTTGTGATAATAAATATGTGCTTGTAGGTCAGTAACCCGGCCACCCGGATGTTGAAGACTGCCGCTGCCCAAGTGGGCACAGCAACTGCATCCTCTCCCACCACTACCACCAGACCCATCATCACTGTGCACAAGTCTGGTGCAGTCACAGTGGCCCAGCAGGCCCAGGTGGTGACCACTGTGGTGGGAGGAGTCACCAAGACCATCACCCTGGTCAAGAGCCCCCTGACCATGGGCAGCAGTGGCACTCTGGTAAGAAAACATGGATTCTTTAGCATAATGTAATACTGCAACTCTACTTGAGAGCACCCTTTGGTGCTTTCACAGGCATGCTTTAAACCATGGATTCTGTAAAATGCTTCCTCGCACTCTGCATCTTTGTATCGATTGGTCACTCAATGGTGGCGTCTTTTTGAACCAGTAGGGAGGGTGTAAAAGTTGGCCTACAGTGACTATTGGAAAAGACAGGGAGCATGATGTCAGTGATCTGCATGACTGTCGGTCAGTTAGGGCTAGAATGATTCTAGAGCCACAAGTTTGGTGGTCGAGCATCCGGCTGACCTCCCCGTAATATCCGATGTTTTCTGGTGACTCATGAATTTGAGTCTCTCTCCTATGTCGGCAGATCTCCAACCTTGGCAAGATGATGTCTGTGGTACAAACCAAGCCAGTGCAGACATCAGCTGTCACAGGCCAGGCTTCCACTAACCCTCTCACACAGATCATACAGGTCAGCTATCTGCATGAGTGCAGGAAAAAACAGGAGGTAGCTTAAAACTCCTGAGACAGGCACCACGTGTCTTTCCCTGAATAGTTTTCATAACATGCACCTTTCTTTCCAGACGAAGGGTCCACTCCCAGCTGGCACAATCCTGAAGCTGGTGACCTCTGCAGATGGCAAACCCACAACCATCATCACCACCTCCCAGGCTGGAGGCACAGGAAACAAGCCCACTATCCTCAACATCAGCGGAGTCTCTCCTACTACCACTAAGCAGGGTACCACCATCATTAAGACTATCCCCATGTCAGCCATCATGACCCAGCCTGGAGCTACAGGTTTGTTCTCATTCAAGTTTGCACACTTTTTGGCATTTGCTGTGTAAATTAACCTTTAGATTTAGGATTAGTGATTGATCAGTGATTATATTCATGCTTGTGTTTGTCCTTGCAGGTGTAACAAGCAGTGCAGGTATGAAAACGCCCATTACAATCCTTACCACAAAGGTGATGACCACAGGAACTCCTGGGAAAATCATCACTGCGGTGCCCAAACTTGCCACGGCAGCTGGCCAGCAGGGACTGACACAGGTAAATTGTCTCTTTTTGCTCAGCAGTGTTTGGTACATATTGTGTTTGTTGTGCTGCCTGTTTATCCTAAATCTTCTGTTTCTAGGTGGTTTTGAAGGGTGCTCCCGGGCAACCTGGCACTATTTTACGCACTGTTCCCATGAGCACAGTGGGTGGCGTTCGTCTGGTTACACCAGTGACTGTGTCTGCTGTTAAGCCGACTGTCACAACTCTGGTTGTCAAGGGGACTACAGGTACGAAAAAATTACTAAGTAATGATTATGTAAATTAACAGTTTTGTTTCTCTGGTTTCATTTTTCAAACCACATTTCTTCCAGGTGTCACCACTCTCGGCACAGTCACTGGTACCGTTTCTTCTAGCTTGGCGGGAGGCACAGTTGATAGTTCAACTTCCTCTCTCGTTACTCCCATCACCACACTGGGAACCATTGCTACCCTGTCCAGCCAGGTCATCAACCCAACTGCCATTACAGTTTCAGCTGCTCAGACTAGCCTGACTTCTTCCTCCGCACTGCCCTCTTCTACTATGACAGTGCAGGTAATACTCAGCAGCTCCACTTTGTAATATTTGTATTTTAGTCATTAGGCTTTGAAGCTCTTGCAGTAGCATGTGTCATAAGCTTTAAGTAGTATATCACAACATGCTGAAAAAGACCATATGTGAAGATGTTGCTACCTCTTCTTGTAAACACAGACTAATGGAGAGCTGTTCCTCAGAAATTTTCAGACAGTCAATGAAGTTCTTCTGTTTTAGACCATGTATAACATACTATTTGCCTTAGAGCTGACATCTCTTTCCTCTCAGCAGAACCAGCCCACCCAGGTGACTCTGATCACAACTCCCAGTGGTGTTGAGGCTCAGCCAGTACAAGATCTACCAGTATCCATCCTGGCTTCACCAACCTCTGAGCAACCCACTTCCACTGAGGCTGGAGCTGCTGGAGAGAGCTCTGGAACTGTCACTCTGGTCTGCTCTAATCCGCCCTGTGAGACCCACGAAACGGGAACTACCAACACAGCCACCACTTCTTCCGCAACAATTGGTGCAGGACAGGTCTGCTCTAACCCACCATGTGAGACCCACGAAACCGGAACCACCAACACAGCCACCACTTCGTCTGCAACAATTGGAGCAGGGCAGGTCTGCTCTAACCCACCATGTGAAACCCATGAAACAGGAACCACCAACACAGCCACCACTTCCTCAGCTACAATCGGTGCAGGACAGGTCTGCTCGAATCCGCCCTGCGAGACCCATGAGACAGGAACTACCAACACAGCCACAACTGCTTCTTCAAACATGTCTGCGCTACGCATGTGCTCCAACCCACCATGTGAGACCCATGAAACCGGAACAACAAACACGGCTACCACAGCAACGTCGAACATGGGAGGAGTGCAGCAGGCGTGCTCCAACCCGCCCTGCGAGACCCATGAGACCGGAACTACCAACACAGCCACAACTGCTTCTTCAAACATGTCTGCGCTACGCATGTGCTCCAACCCACCATGTGAGACCCATGAAACCGGAACAACAAACACGGCTACCACAGCAACATCGAACATGGGAGCAGTGCAGCAGGCGTGCTCCAACCCGCCCTGTGAGACCCATGTGACGGGCACCACCAACTCCACCACACAAGCTTCATCTAGCATGAATGCAAACCAGACAGACACGGTGCAGAGCGTGTGCTCTAATCCACCCTGCGAAACCCATGAGACGGGGACCACCAATTCTCCGTCCACAGCCACCTCCAGCATGGGAGGAGACCAGACCAGCACAACAACAGCCCTGGTCCAAAGGGTTTGCTCCAACCCTCCCTGTGAAACACACGAGACAGGGACCACCAACACAGCCACAACTGCCACTTGTAGCATGGAGACAGGTGAAGGCACTGGTATGTAAACATACTGTGTACATTTTACCTGAATAATCTTATTTCTTTTCTTTTTCTTTTATAATTAACAGCAAGTTAGGTTTCCGTACACTGTGTGGTGACTCTCAATCTTACTTCTTTTTTTAAATTACACTTGTCTTGATATTTCTTAAAATAACATCTAGATCTCACATGACGGATGATTGTTTTTCTCTAAGCAGTAAAAGTAGTTTGTTTAGAAATCAGCTATGTTACTATGTCTCATTAGCAACCCAGCAGACAGAAGAAGGAGCAGAAGGTACCAGCAGCACAGAAGAGGCATCCACCACAGCAACAACTGGCACCACCCAGGGCAGGGCTATCACTACTGTCACTCAGTCTACACCAGCCCCTGGACCCTCTGTGCCTGTAAGAATACCACATCATTCCTGTCAAAATAAGATCCTTTTCTAAAAACCATCCAGTATGACTTGGTGATGGTGGTAAAACTAATCCTAGTAGATGTCCACGTTGGGGCTGCATTTCTGAATTTGATATGCTGTACAGACAAAAGTACCAGGCCACCTACACATTACACTTAAAGGATCTGCTTGACCATGGAAACTGAAGTTGTGAAACTCCTGGTGCACAGTACTTGTGCTGACGAGAAAGCCAGAGCAAGTTTATAATCCTGTAGGTATTGAGTCAGCAGAGTGTTGATAGTGTTGGCGTCCTATTACATTACTGCGCTGAATATCTATGAACAAAACATTCAGAAATGTTTGTAAAGGCAGACTGTATTGGTAGGTGCCAGAATTTAAACACCGGTGGCCATAGGACTGAAAACGCCTGACTTTGCAGATTAAGAAGTGTGGCCTAATACTTTTGTCAATATGTGTGTACGAATATGTAAGAAGAATGTCATTTCCAGAGTTTCTTTCTCATTGTGGGGTATGATTTCTTTGTTTCCCTCTAGTCGATCTCATCCATCACAGAGGGAGTAAGCACTGCAGCTAGCTCCACAGAGGAACCCATGCAGACTGATGAGCCAGCATCAGCAGAAGCTGCACCTGTTGAGGAAGGAACCGCAGCAATGGAGACGCAAGCAGAGGTGAATAAAGTATGAAGGCAAAAAAGTCTGTTTGGCCTTTGATTTTGAAATTCTTTGCAGTCATGCATTTTCCATGTTTTTTTGATGGGACTGCTTTAATGTGTTCCCCAGGGAGAAGCAGCAGCAGCGACAGCCTTGAACCTTCCTTCAGAGCTGATGTCTGAGGGCCAGGGAGCCACACTAATGGTGACGGGGCTGTCGGACGAGGAACTGGCTGTCACTGCAGCAGCAGAGGCGGCTGCACAAGCAGCAGCCACAGAGGAAGCCCAGGCCCTCGCTATCCAGGCGGTCCTCCAGGCAGCTCAGCAAGCCGTAATGAGTGAGTAGAATCAAAGCTTTTTGTTCACAGACTTTCGAATTTTGAACCATAGCATAGCCTAAGTTCAAGGGCTGGCTCTAGTTAACAGGACACTTGTCAGTAAAACTATTCCTCTAGATGTGAAACTCCTGAATTCTGTGATCTTGCTATTCATAAAAAATGTATAACTTACAGATGAAGGCGATGCTGCTGGAGAGAACCAGCAACCCACCAACATCCCCATCATGCTGACCCAGCAAGATCTTGCAGCACTGGTCCAACAGCAGCAACAATTGCAGGAGGCTCAGGCCGCAGCTCAGCAGGCCACGGTGGACACAAGCTTGCCCACCGAGGGTCTTGCTCCTGCCGACAGCCTCAATGATCCGTCTGTTGAGAGCAATGGGCACAACGAAATGGCCGCTGCAGTCACAAGTGCTGTGGCTTCTCTCCTGCCACGCACCACAGCTGAGAGTATGTTTGTGTTGTGTTTGGTTTTTTTATAGTTACTTTGAATGTTACTGTTTGTTACAGCAGACTGATTATTTTTGTATTGCTCTTGACATTGTACAGCGCTTGCGCCATCAAGTACGTTTGCACCCTCTGTATCTGTGGCAAGTCCAGCTAAACTTCAAGCAGCAGCCACTCTAGCAGAGGTCGCCAATGGCATTGAGGGAGAGGTGAGTCATTTTGGTGCTGCTGCACTTCTGATTATGTCAGTTGAGGTGAAGAGAGGAAAGGAGGAATTTGCTGACCGTTTTTGTTCCCATGCAGAAGCAAGCCCCTCAGCCAGCTCCAGTGAAGCCTGTCGTGAAAAAGGAGAACCAGTGGTTTGATGTTGGGATTGTTAAAGTGACAAATATGGTTGTCACTCACTACTATGTGCCAGGAGATGATTCTCAAGGAGATGTAAGTTGTCTCAGGGAGCCTTTTCTTGTTCAGAATGATATTGATGTGCGTTACAAGAATCCATCTTTATCTAACTTGTATTTATGTGTTTGGTAGGATGACTCTGGCATTATACCAGACTACAGCCAGATGAAGAAAATGGAGCTGCAGCCTGGAACAGCTTACAAGTTCCGTGTTGCTGGAATCAACGCCTGCGGTCGTGGAGCTTTCTCTGAGATTTCAGCTTTCAAGACTTGCCTACCAGGCTTCCCGGGGGCACCTTGTGCCATCAAAATCAGCAAGGTAAACAAACCCTGTTGCATTATAGATTTTACTCACAGGTGTGCCATACGTGATCACGTGAGCCATGGTTTTGGCACCAAGTAGCATCTTTTCACTGTATCCCCCCCCAGAGCCCAGATGGTGCCCACCTAACCTGGGAGCCACCCTCGGTGACGTCAGGAAAGATCATTGAGTACTCTGTGTACCTGGCCATCCAGAGCAACCAAACAGCTGAAGCCAAGGCTTCCACCCCAGCCCAGCTAGCCTTCATGCGTGTGTATTGTGGACCCAACCCATCTTGCTTGGTTCAGTCGTCCAGCCTCTCTAACGCACACATCGACTACACCACCAAGCCAGCGATCATCTTCCGCATTGCCGCCCGTAACGAGAAGGGCTATGGTCCTGCCACACAAGTTCGATGGCTGCAAGGTGAGTTCACAAATAAGTTCTTTAAAATATTAAAAATACTTAATTACTGAGGCTGCTGTTGATGGATTGAATCTCTCCACTTTAATGCCCTGTAGAATCTGGCAAAGATGCCTCCTCTGCAAAACCGGCCCCCAAAAGACCAGGCACCTCTCCTGATACGTAAGTACAGTATTCATGTTTCATATCGTGCACACAGGAACATTTCATCGATGAATAAAACATCCAGCACTTATTCTGGTTTTGTGTGTTCTCCTGCAGTAAGTCTACTGGTCCAAAGAAAGCAAGGACGGACCAGTGAGGTGGCCTGGAGATCCCTCCCAGTCTTTTCTTTTGGTCTTTTTTTTACCCCACTCGCTGTCTTTTTATCAAGAAGACTGACCTTCACCCTTTCTCCTCTTCATCCTCATCCTAACCTCATCCTCCATCCACTTCCCCAAATGTCTCAGACAGAGACTGCAATGGAGGCAGAACAACCATATGAAGCCGAGACGAAAGTTGATCTGAGAGATGTTTCTGTAGATAAAACCCTCCTTCCTCCTCGTTCTGTTGGTCGTACTATTTTTAGAGCAAACCTAGAAGCACATTATCTTTTTCAGTCACATCTCCTTCCATCCTTTTAACACCTATTTTTGACTTATTTCAATAGTTGGAACAGTATAGAGAAGCATTTACATCTTTCACAAACTGGGAGCCAGCCTGAGCGCAATGTTACCCTTTTTCTTTTTCCTGTGTTTTTGGGGAATTCTGGGGGGGATGTAGAGAGAGACTACATGGAATGATGTACAGTGTTGAAAAAGGCTGTGGAAGCATTAGTATAGATGAGAGGAAAAAAAATCGGTATGGAATCAAATAAAGCACTTGTCCTCTGTGAAGGAGGACTTTTTTTTTTTTATTATTATTATTATTTTGCTCAAAACTAATTTGCTTCATTGAGAACCAAGTCTGTACAGTCATCGTACTGGACTCCAGTCTCCTGGTAATGTCATCACTGTGCGCTTTTTACCCCAAGATGAGGACTGGTGGCCAACATGTTGGAAGAATGGCAAAAGGAAGAGATTTGTAGAGAACGAATGACTTTGCTAGGACTGAGACTTGCAGCACACATGGAAAAAAAAATCTTCCCAAAAAATTAGCAAGCAATGACGCAGAAGATCTTTTGTGTAGTTTATTTTTGTATTTTTTAAGCTTTTTTCCTTCTGTGTGTATGTGTATGTTGTGTGCATTTTTAAGAGAAAAAAAAATACATCAGTTTTTTTTAACTGTTGTTCATCCCAATAATTTGTGTTCATGGGAAGATGTTGTGGCTAATGTTGAGGTTGCCACTCTATTTTAAAAAAAGAAATCTTCAGTTGGTTGTATGTTCTTGTTAACAGATAGCAATGAAAGTGAGAAAGACTTTTTGTATTTGTTCCAAGTAGAAACCGCAGAGGTTATAGGACTGAAGGGAACTTTTGATGTGGACCCAGGGAGAGGAGTTTTTACTTTGTTTACTACTCGATACTTGTGTTGCTTCATTTGCCAAACATGGAAACACAAGGGGGAGGAGAGGCTTAGAAAAGACCAACATCAGATCTTTTCCATCCTTTCCCCTCCCCCTCCATGATATCCCGATCAGTTGTCCTATGCTTTTTACACTTATGAATGTGCTGTCCTCACGTCTAAGTTTTAGAATGGCAAATTATCAGTAGAATTATTTTCCCTTCCCCTATTTGATGTATGTAAATCCATTTAATAAATCTTTTGTTCCTTTCCACGGCTCTGTATTCCAGACTACAGATGGTGTGCGAGCTAACTGTGACATGTAAAACCCATATGTCTTTTGAACGGCGATGTCTTGGGAAGAAAGCTTACATAGCTGGAGTGTACTCACTTGTAAATTAGTTCATTCATAGAGCAAGAATGAAAAAAAAAAAAAAAACAGACAAAACAAAAAAAGGAAACATCTTGGCCTTTTATATAATTACCTGTAACAAACTGTTTTTACATGTTGGTCATCTCTTGATTGCCTTTTGTGTCTTTGCTTATAAAAGAAACGTATATATATATATATATATAAATATATATAGTCTCCCTAATTTGCTTCTGTCAAGCTGATTCACTGTAGGAGTCCGAATCACTGCTAGGTTCGTTACAATACAAAACTTGTACAGGGAGGAGGTTTCTGACTGGACATGAGTGTATATCTACTTTGTAAGAGTGGATTCAGTTGTGATGGTAACGACGGCCACGAAGATGAGAGCCCGGGTTTGCCGCTTTTTCTCTGGCCCGTGCCTCGGGTTCTGTTTGTGATTTCTCCCGATTACTTTCTAGAAATGAAAACTTTCTCTTCATATGCATTCATAATTTTGTGCGTGTCGGTGTGTCTGTTGAACAAAACTAGACATGCATGCAAAAAAGCAGTGTATTTTAGTAGTGATGCCTTAAGTTAGACCATAAGCTGAAGGTTCTCAGAAAAAAAAGAAAAAAAGAAGAAAAAACATTTAATGAGTTTGTTCCTCTCTCCATGTGGTATACAATTGTGTCCTTTCCTTCCACAGTACCTTTGCTGGGTCACTATTTTTGCACCCTCGTTAGATAGGTCCTCATCAGCAGTGCCGAGGTCTCTGAACTTTCCCCTTCCACACTGAGACGAGTGTGCCTCTCAGCACTCACAGGTGTTGCGAGTTTCTCTCGGCTGTTTGCAGGTTATCTGGAAATGTCCTGTATTTTCCAATGTGTGTTTTTTGTACTGTAGGGAGTAATGTATCTTTTATCATCAAAAAATAAACATGTTAAACATAAAAAAAAAAAATAGGCTTTTGTGCGTGTGTGTTTATTAAAAGTAAACACAAGACAAGTTGAGTCACCTGCTGTAAGCCACGCTGAGCCGCTCTCAAAAACGGCTTCTCTACATCCAGATCTTCTTTGGCACTTCCTTCAAAGTATTCAGCTCTAATTTCCTCGCACCACTGCCGGGACAGCTTGCCAGACACCTGAGAGGAAACAAAATGTTACTCACATGATGGATCAGAGTAATGTGTGGAATAAAACACACAAATCTAAAGGATGGGCCTCTTGGCAAACTGAGTTTCACGAGCAGCGGGCTTGGAAAGCCTGTGGTGACCAGAACACGTCAAACTAAACAATGGTCACTTTTGTCATGCTGAGAGCCATCCTGAGATGGCATCTGATTTGTAAGAGTTAATAAACATGGATTATACAGATTAAAGGCTTAGCATTAAGAATATAAAGGACAAACACAGCCCTGATTTCTTTATATTTGCTCCTAGTGAGCCAGTGATCTTGACCAATAGTTCTTCAGGCTTTCTGAAGGTCTTTCAAAGTTTTTCTTTCTACACTGACTGCATTTCCCTCTGTTCAATCCAGTCATAGACACTAATCTACAAATCATTCAAGCATTAAATAAATCCACCTAACTCAACGCATGAAGTCTTCACATAACCGAAAACATAGCAAACCCATTTCAAATGATATTGTTAGGTGCTCCGTTACTAGCAGCCTGTCATTAAAAACATTTGTTCACATTTCTTGACTAGAATCTACTAAAAATCCCAAAGACAACACTTTGACAGGCATAAAATATTTTTGCAAAGGGATTTCCATTCGCATCTCTACAAAGTGTGCAGTGACTACTATACGTAATGTAGTAGTCACTGTTAACTGTTATTCTGTCAGACTTCACAGCTTGTGTTTTTGTATTTTATTTTAATTCAAATGTCCCAACTCTGCCTAACCAAATAAAATAAGCACAAAGGAAAGCTAAATATCGTTTAGACAGTTTCTCTTTCTATCCCAATAACACTTAAATGGGTACACTGTTATTTCAGCTGCTGGCTTCTTCGTCAATCATTTTTAGGTCCGAGTCGGGATGTGGCTATAGATAGTCACATCTGATTTTGAGCTGCCACTTCCTTGTGAGAGTCACATGCAGTGTGTCACTTTGCATCAGCTTTCTTCATTCTGCAAAACTGAATAATAATCAAAATAATATCAACTGACAATTTTCTTCCACCGACTTCAAGTAGTTTTCAGGCTTTCTTGTAGATTCATTGCATTTTCTCTTTGTGGTAGTTTCCATCCAATTCCAGTAAAATCTGCACTGATTGTGATTTACAGTTTTCCTCCTTGGGTAGGCAGTAGAACAGTGAGGTTAACCTGCACTTGACCCATGCTTTCTTCACGTATCTTTCCTGCAGTGTTGACTTTTGAATACCAGAACCAATCAAAATGTGAGACTGAGGGACAAGAGATTAAAAAAAAAAATGCTGTGCAGCCTCCACATAAAGTAGGACACCTGGTTACCCTGGACGCAGCTTACTTTACTGTGTGCTCACACCAAAAATAGAACAGAAGAATACAAAATGTTAATAGAGACTTCACTTTTGATCTAACACTCACTGTGACTTGCATTTCCTTTGCAAGAGTGTAATTTACAAGTGTATTTCAGAAAGAAAAGAGAAATCTCTTGGTGTAAACAACATGAAAGCATGGCTCCATTCTACCAACAGTTCAGGCTGATGGTCGTGGTGTTGGTGGTGTAATGGTGAGAGGGCACATTTTCTTGGCACACTGGGCATCTTAGTACCAACTGAGAATGGTTTAAATACCGCAGCCTACCCGAGAACTGTTGCTGACCACGTCTATACCTTAATGACCGTCTTCAGATGGCTGCTTCCAGCAGGATAATGCCACAGAGCTCAAAAATATCAAAGTGGCTTCTTGAGCTTAACAATGAGTTTGCTTTACTCAAGTGGTCTCCACAGTCACCAGACTGGAATCCTACAGAGCACCTCGGGGATGTGGTCAAACGGGAGATTCACATCATGGATCTGGAGAAGCTGTGTGAGGCTGTGGATCAAAATCTCAGAGGAATCTTTTCCCACCACCTGGGGAGTCTACACCATGAAGAATTAAGGCAGTTCTAAAGGCAAAACTAAGCTAAGGTGTACATTTAAAAGTGCCCAGTGACTGCATACACACAGAATGGCAAAATTGAAGCAATTTGATAACAAACCCGATAACAAGGTAGCTCAATATAGACTAAAGGTCCTAAACCTAAGTGATCACACTTAGGTTTAGTAGGTTCCCACTACAGCACCAGGCCGGAAAGCAGGTAAGACAAAAATGATGTTATAGTTCAGTCGTGGTTCCAACAAATCTGCATTTAATAAAACTGTACTGAGCCACGTGTGTGGTAAACCTGGAGATGCCTCACTGAGACCGACTGAAAGAAGAGGACTTTGACTAACCTCTCGGTCGCTCAGATCCGTTTTGTTGCCCAGTACAATAAAAGGGAAATCAGAAGGATCCTTGGGTTCCCCTTGGATCAAAAACTCCTTCCTCCACCCATCCAGAGCAGAGAAGCTGGCCTTGGATGTGACATCAAACACCAGCATGCAGCAGTGAGCTCCCCTGTACAGAGGTGTACCCAGAGACTGGAACCTCTCTGTGCCTGCTGTGTCCCAGATCTGACATACACACAGTGGGAAACATGGGATTAACCATCCTATATGACATGAATGTCTTGTTCCTGGGTGCGTGGGGGCTTGTTTCACTGCCAAATGCACAGGTGAATTACCTGCAGCGTGACTGTGTCCCCATCTATGCTGATTGTTTTAGAGAGGAAGTCGGTCCCCACAGTGGCCCGGTACATGTTGGTGAAGCGGTGATTCACGTATCTGTTCATGACGGAGGATTTTCCCACCCTAAGTAAACACTCACATGTTTAGTGGAAATCGACAAAATGAAGACCTCTCGCTCTTTTACCGGAGACAGGCGCATTATTCTTCTTGCATCGCACTGCGCCGTTAAATACAAGCCCACACTTTCACACTTTTGAGAATTTGGAATTATGTCTTAAACTATGAACAGAAAGAGAGCCGGAGTAAATGAAAGTGAAACAAGTATCGGTGGAACTGCGGAATTAATAAGAACCTTTAAATGCCCCTTTAACTCACCCAGAGTTTCCTATGAGGATTATTTTCAGTGTAATAGGACCCTTTTTGTCACTCATATCCATGTCTGATTGTTTGGCCCAGCCGGTATGAACCCACGAGAGCTCACGCTGCCGATGCCTTCACGGGTCCCTAGAAATATGCGCCTTCAATGACTGGACGTGTCACACGCCTATAGCCAGATTTAGAAATTAAAATAAAATAACTAAAATACTAATATTATTATTATTGTTTTAAAGTTTTCAAGTGATTTCCTCCGTGTGTTAAATATATTCTTTCTTTTTTCTTTTCTTTTGTTCTTACCACACTGCTGGCAAGTTGCAACTAAATGTCCAAAATTCCAATTAAGTGGCTGTGCTTTGAAGGCACCGCATCATGACAGGTGATTGGCACACAGCCGCGTTCTCCTCATTCCTGTATGAAAGGTCCACAGACTCAGCAACAGGGCTCTACTCCAGGAACAACTCTGAGTTTGTTAACCCTGAGCTGAGGAAACTCCGGATCTTCTTGTTCCAGAAAAACAGTCAACTTCAACTCTGAGTCAGTAACTGGGGTCAGATAACCTGCTCGCTGGCAGGTTTTAATTAGCGAACTGAGTTTCTCTCTGACTCCTCCCCTCTTGCTGCACCTGAATCACCTGGCTGACACCTCGAATCATTTCCTCATTTATAAAATCGCAGTCATTGTGTAGGGGAGTGAACTAATCTGCAGAAGTTGACGTTTTTACAAGCACTGAAATCCCAGTTAGACGCTAATTTGTTCTATTTTTGTACTTAACATCAAACAGGCATTTACTCCTCGATATACAGGTATATACAGCCATGACGTTGCATATTTCTAATCAACCCAGTATAAGATCCACAGTCTCCATCTCTGTGGCTCTGTGGAGAGTAGCTGTCAGACTGTCAGTCAGCTCTTCTGAAACATTTACTGTAGCAATGACTGTTTCAGTCAAACTCGTCTGTGTAAAACTTTAGACGCACCACATACTGATGGTGATGGAAAAATGTCTGTCACAGCTCGATCTTGGATATGATGGGAATATTTGAGTGAAGGTGAGACTAATCTTCACAGATTGTTCACAGATTCAGTCACTGAATAATCTGAAACAATTTAAAGCAACTGAACCTCAAAATATTTTCCACTGAAGATCACCTGAGTGACTCTATCAGTGACTCCAAACTGGATCAGCCCTAAGGTAGCCTATAGGCTCTGTAATGGATCAGTGTTTTTGATCACTGTTCGGCTTTACTAATAAAACTTTACATTCTACTTTTGGAAAGCGGCCCTTCATTTATTATTATTATTATTATTATTATTATTATTATTATTATTATTATTATTATTTATTTATTTATTTATTTATTTATTTTTAGATCAAACTATAATGATTACACTGGTGAACAGTAAAGATTTATTTTTCTATAAATCTCAAAAATGGGATTGTTACAGCCCATCAGTACATCAAATGTTCACTAAACAAATTAAAATACATAAAAATAAAAATGAAATGCTCAAAACTGTAAAAAAAAAGCCCAAAAAAAACCAACCCTTCCTTTATTCCCCATTAGAGGGCAGTATAGACCTCAGGTGGTTTATTTTTCTTCTCGGACAGATATGCTTAGAGCCATGAGGTAGGGTTGCTTTGAATAATCATTAAATGACCAGTTTAGTGTTTTTAACTAATTGTGAGGTTAAAGTTATTAATGAAAGTTAAAATATCATCAATATTTTAATTAAATGTAAAAAAAAAAGGCTAAAAGAAGAAGGAGACATATCAGAAAGGCTAAAATGCTGACATTTACTCACACTTTGTACTTTGATGTTTCAGAGTTTCCTTTTATTGGAGTAATCAAATTCTGCCATCTTTTATTACGTTTCACTTTTGAGTGTTCAGGTTAGTGCAAGAAAAAAACCTTACAGTAACCAGAGGACAGGTTCTATCTATATCTATCTATATATACATCAATCATACAATCATCATAAGAATATGTTGAATTCACTGCCAAAAGCCAACGGAAAATCTCATGATTCATGAGGTTAATGAGGTGAAATAATTACCATAACTCAGTATACAGTTAGTGTCATTGTTGGGTCTTACAGAATGAAAAATAACAACTTTAAAAATAATGGTTCTTGAAATAAAATGGCCAAGAATGTGGGAATTTCGTCATCTAAACAGCATCATTAAACGATTCAGTAAATCTCTGCGTAAAGAAGAACAAAAAACAATGCTGATCTTAAACATGATGCTGAAGTGGAAATCCCATCTTAGTATTATTCAGAAAGTCACAGTCAGTAAACTTTTTTTGCTGCATCCACAAATGTGAGGTGAAATTCCACCATACAGAGACATAGAGGCATACATGAACATGATCCAGAAACTCTGAGCTCTCCTCTGGACTGACCTCATATAAGATGGACTGAGGCAAAGTGTAAACTCTTTGGTCTCTCTTTGCTGATATTGTGTTTGAAAATCATGGACTTTGTGTCCTTGCTGTTGGAGAGTAGAGGAATCATTTGGCTTGTTATCAGAGCACGGTTAAAGGCAGTACCCGTGATAGTATGGGGCACATCAGCGCACACTGGATGTATAAACTGCCTCTGTGAAGGCCTTGATTGTTTTCAGTGAGGCCATGCAATCAGTCACAATCCCTCATCTACCCATTGAAAACATCTGGTGCACTATGAAGCAAAAATATGACAGAAGGAGTCAAGCAGCTGAAACCCTCGAAATCCTTTATCAGGCACGAATGAGCAACATTTGCTTTATGTCACTTGTCTCCTCAGCTCTTCCACCTGCTGCCTTTAGGGGTCACCATAGCAGATCATCTGCTTCCACCTCACCCTATCCCCAGCAACCTGCCTGTCGGCTTGATCTGCTACATACTTTCCACATGCCCAGACCATTTTGAGCTTTCCTTTGAACTCTATCTCTAGCTGAGCCGTCCTGATGTACTAATTTCTAATCCCAATCTTCCCAGTCATTTTTAGAACTCAATACAATTGATCACTTTCAACATCTAACATGTTGTGTTTTCAAACCAATACTATCACACTTTTTTTTACTTGATGCCTGCCTTTAGAAATGAGATTCTAGATTAATGACAGATGAGGTAGAGTTCAATTTTTCTTTGTCTAGTATCAAAGTTACTTATTTATCCTAATGTATGAGCTAAATTGGAAGCTGGTTATCAAGAGGTTACCATAAAAGCATATATAAAATATAAACAATAATAAGTAGGAAGTAGTACTTACTACTGAAACACACGGACACAGAAAATATAAACAATGCAGAATTTATATTTGTGATCATAAGAGGGGTAAAAAAAAAATTGTGCAATCGTCAGTTAAAAACAGAATATAAAACCTATAAGAAAAGAAAAACTCAACTACTTGACACAATGCTGAGATTCCTTCATATCTATGTCCTGTAGTGACTGTCAGAGGTGCAGCAGAACACTGAGATTGCAAAAAAACAGCAACAGAAAAACTAGCGTATCTCTGTGAGTGGCACTCGTGAGTGCCCGCCTAACTTTATTAGACAATGGATGGAGACACACTCATAACGCTGTGCTGCTGCACAAAGTCCACGCTTGTTTGGGTGCCAAGAAAGCGCCTAAACATTTATTTCAATCACAGTGAAAGTAATGGAGATGTGTACAACCATGGAGTGAAGACTTTTTGAAAAAGTGAGGACCTTCTGGATGTGACCCCGGTCTGCTCCTCCTTTCTTTCACACCTTTTAGAAAGAAGAAAGAAACAGAAGGTGTGTGAGTGTCAAGATTCAGGTTTATGGGTGTTGGTCAGAAACAGCTTTAGGCTATTCACTTAGTTAAGTCTGTATTGAGGACCTAGAGAAACCATCATGTCAATAAATGTCCTCAGAAACAGACTGTATGAACATTTGTGTGTGTGTGTGTGTGTGTGTGTGTGTGTGTGTGTGTGTGTGTGTGTGTGTGTGAGAGAGAGAGAGGGGGGGGGGGGGGGAGAAAGAGGGAGCGCTATCCTCCTGGGTATAGTGGTGCTGCAGCCCTGCATTGCAGAGATAAGACCACCGCCTTCACAGAAGCCTGTTTCTTGGGAATTTGAAAGTTGTCCTCATACTCCACTGTTGACACACAATGTCATCTGTCATCCAGCTACGAAGGCCCTGAGCAACCTCCTAACTGTCCGACAAGACACTCCAGCGTTAGTTCAAACTGTCTCTGTCGAGATACTGTCAACAGAAGAAGAAAACTGTGTCCGTGTGTGTGTGTTTGCCTTGCGTGATTTATGTAGTACAGCCACTTACACGCTGTAGGGCCTTGTAACCCTGACAGTATGCCTGTACCGCTTTATGACAGTAAGCGGCGGGCCTGTAATTCCTGGCCTCCTCCTTTCATCTTGATAACCTCTTATCAGAGCAGAGCAGCACACTCGCACTGTGGCGGCAGCCACATCCCTGCCCGGCTGTCCACGCTGCCACAGAGACCTCATCTCACTCTGGTACTACTGCTCTCATTCACCCAGGCTACAGTGTTTCACATCCAGCACATTCACATTTAACTGTGCCATAACTGCCATTAAAAAGGAAAACCTAGAGGGGACAAACCTAAGTTGTCAACACAATAAATTGATAGCACAAGCTGGAGCCTATCCAGCTTTGCCTGAAGTGGGCTTACACTGCACAAATTATCATACCTTGATTACACGATGATGTCAGACAAACTTTAAGCTTTGTATAACAGAATCCTGAATCGAATTTTAAAGTTTTACCTGGTACTCTATTGCATTGCAGAACAATAAGTAGTATTTGCAAATAGTATTACCAACAGCCTTAGTGTAAATGTTCCTGGAAGAATCTGAATTGGTCTTATACGGTAGATGAAGAGCAGATAATAACTCAGACAGTATTCACCGCTTGTGTGTGTGTATTGCTTGGTTATTTATTTAGTATAATCACTTGCTCTTAGTCTTATTATTGAACCAACAGCAGCCTTTTGACAAATCTCATAAAAACAAAAAAAACAAAAAAAAACACTGACAGGTGCGAACAGAGCAGGTTTCTTCTTCACTTATCTACGTGACAACAAAGAAAACATGACACAGGTGTCATCAGAAGTTATACGGAGGTGATGAGGAGGACATTTTATTACAGCTCTGCTTTTTCCTGATATCCAACTGTTTATGGGTCCCCGGGACATTGACTTCACTGACTTTTACTACTTTAACAGTTTATTTCTGTTGTTCCAGGATACTAATTTCACAGCAACCGGTGATACTGTGTGTGGAACGTTTAGGGAAATGAAAGGCTTAGTTAGAATTTTTGTGTAACAGTTGCCATGACCTATATATTGATTTGCATCTGGCCTAACTGATACCACTTATTAGCCATCGCT